CCTTAGCAAAGTGGGACCCTCAGGAAGGGCTCTCACAGCAGCCACCAGCCCCGTCCAGCCCCCTGCTTCCTCCCCCCCTAAGCCCAGGACTTGCAGCTTTGAACAGCTGACAGGAGGTAGAGGAGGAGAGGAGCGTGGATATCTTTTTATTTCACTTTTTTTTTTTTCTCACTGCTCCAGTCTGTTAGTAATGTTAGTAAATATATTATCTTAATCTCGCTACAGAGTCTGCTTATACAGTGACTGCAAATGATGAGACATCTCCCCTTCCCTTGAATAAACCTTGCAGCCCTTTCCAACTCTATTTTCTTTGTCTGTATCGTTCAGGAGCAGGGGTGAAAGAGTCGTGTGGTGGAGTTCAGCTGACCATCAGTGTGAAACCACCGCAATGCTCAGACCTATTGCTGACACCAGCTTTGAAAGAAAAGGCAGGAATTCAGGCAGTGCATTGGAGAGATGCTGTTTTATTAAGCAGATGCTAAAAGAAAGTAATTGCTGATATGCATGGAGGCAAAAATTGTGCAGTGTAAACAAAGCAGTTTAATACCTCATGAGATGCTGGATGAATAATAAGCCTTTATTCTAAGAAAGTAATAAATGGAAATGACACTAAAGATAAAGATCAAAATACCAATATTCTTAATGAAACAAGTACCAGGCCTTCAAATTATATCCAGGAAGTCATTTGTGGAGAAAGAGGGGAAGTTTATCACCATTCAGAAATATCCATGAAATTCCTTTCCTAATAGCACCCTTGAGCTCCTTGTTTCTCATGCTGTAAATGAGGGGATTGAATGTTGGGGGCACCACCGAGTACAGAACTGCCACCAAAAGATCCAGGGTTGGGGAGGAGATACAGGGGGGCTTCAGATAGGCAAACATGCCAGTGCTGAGAAACAGGGAGACCACAAATAGGTGAGGAAGGCATGTGGAAAAGGCTTTGTGTCGTCCCTGCTCACTGGGGATCCTCAGCACAGCCCTGAAGATTTGTACGTAGGAGAAAAGAATGAAAACAAAACAGCCAGAAGCAAAACAGATACCAACCATAAGTACCCAAAGTTCTCTGAAGTAGGAATGTGAACAAGAGAGCTTGAGGATCTGGGGGATTTCACAGAATAATTGGTTCACAGCATTGCCTTGGCAGAAGGGCAGGGAAAATGTATTGGCAGTATGCAGCAGAGCATGGAGAACCCCACTGCCCCAGGCAGCTGCTGCCATCTGGGCACAAGCTCTGCTGCCCAGGAGGATCCAATATTGCAGGGACTTGCAGATGGCAGCATAGCGGTCATAGGCCATGACAGTGAGAAGGTAAAACTCTGCTGATATCAAGAAGACAAACAGAAAGACCTGTGCAACACATCCTTCATAGGAAATGGCCCTGGTGTCCCAGAGGGAATTGGCCATGGCTTTGGGGACAGTGGTGGAGATGCAGCCCAGGTCGAGGAGGGCGAGGTTGAGGAGGAAGAAGTACATGGGGGTGTGGAGGCGGTGGTCGCAGGCTACGGTGGTGAGGATGAGGCCGTTGCCCAGGAGGGCAGCCAGGTAGATGCCCAGGAAGAGCGCGAAGTGCAGGAGCTGCAGCTCCCGTGTGTCTGCGAATGCCAGGAGGAGGAACTCAGTGATGGAGCTGTTGGACATTTGAGTCCTTTGGGCATGGGGACCTGTCTGAAGAGGAAAATACAGGAAAATATTATGCTAGACTCTGTGAGGGAAACCCTATTTCTTGTACAAACCTGGTAAGAGTCTGCTGAAAGCAAAAGAATGCAATTTTAACATGCAAATTTCCAATCTCTTCAGCTCTTGGGGATGGTCTCAGTTCTCCACAAAGCAAGAGACAGATGCATCATTGCAGCTGACCATGTAGAGACGTCCAGTAGAAATTCCATGCCCTTAGGTGTCTTCTCCGTGGATAGCACAGAGCTGCTATAGACAAGCTGTGCCCTAGTGGAGGACAGCCTTCAGCCCAGCAGAACCCTTGCAGGAAAAGAGTGGAATGTCCTAAAAGTGGGGTGACCCGAACACAGTCAGCTCATTCACAGCCCCACAAACAGCACTTTCACAACCCTACATGTCATGAGGGGATATGGAGGCTTTTCCTCAGTTCATGTATCTGCATGACAGAACGGGCAGCATCGGTGCCTGAGCTGTACCTGACTTATCCCCTACATCACTGACTCCAAAGGCGAACCATGAACAACTTTTCCATACCAATATCTCTGGTGGTCCACACTGGGGGAGCGGAAGACACCATGGGGCTTTACTGTGGAAGGCAGCAGCAATACAGGGATAGCAGAGAAATGTCAAAAGTCCCGCTTCTATGTTTCTGGGATCAGCAACCTCTCACTCCCTGCCCATGGCTCTGCTGCCTGCAGCTGTCCCTGCCTGCAGCTGGGTCTCTGTCCCCACGCCTCCTGCCTGCAGCTCACAGCCCCCATCCCACCTGCTGGGTGCTCAGCTCTGCCCTGCAGACACCTCCTGGCAGCAGGGCTCTGCCCAGGGGCAGCTCGCTGGGGACATGTCCTAGAGCCCAGGGCACACAGACCCTGCTGACACTGTGCAAGGGGTGATGGTGGAGCTTTCTATGGGCTGAGGGGCAGGAAAAGATCCTTGTAACCTCTCAGCCATCATGGAGTCTTAGGCACTTCCTGGAATTAAAAGCAAATATTTCTATTACAACTGAGGCAAGTAGAGAAGATTGGAAGTTCAGGAGGCTCAGAAAAGCTGTGACTGAAGCTGAAATCCCCTACTTTATCCCGGCTCTCGCAAAGACCCTTTAGATACACGCTGGTTGTGCTGTGGAGCTGTGAGCAGGCTGCCCCAGGCAGCAGCCTCCCAGCAGCAGCAGGACCCTGCCCTGCCGGGGGGGCTCCTTCCACCCACAGCTTCTCCCCACAGCGCCCTGGGCAGCTCCCCGGGCAGGCTGAGTGCTGAGCCTGGCAGGCGGCAGAGGCCCTGCCCCGGCACACAGCCCCTGGGCCACAGCAGGGACCCTGCTCTGCACCACAGCCCTGGACACCCCTGCCTGCACCCCCGGCTTCTCCTGCCTCCACGAACTGCGGCTGCATTGCCCTCCAGCCAGAGACTTACCGGGTGCAGGGCTGGGAAGTCTTCTTCCCCAGTGAGCTCTGGGCATGCTGCCACTTCTGCCTGCCTTTAAGCACTGTGTCTCTGCAGGCAGTGCCCCCAGGCCTGCTGCGCTGTGCAGAGGAGCTGCTCCTGGGCAGAGCTGTCTCTCTGCAGCGCTGCCCGCTTGCCAGGAGCTCCCCTTGGGCCCAGGAGCCCGGCCCAGCTCAGCAGCAGAGGCCCAGCCCAAGGCCTCCCTTGCTCTGCCCCCCACCAGGCTCCCTGCACATGGCCCTGGGGCTGCAGGGGAACCTGCTGGGAAACAGCCTGAAGGGATCCCTCGAGTTCCTTCCCTCATATGGGTACACACTCTTCTTGACAGCAGTGTTCTGGAGTAGTTGGCTGTTCATATTCCCCCGGGCATTCCTCATACCCACAGGGGCTAGATTCCTCTGGCCTCCATTAAGGTGTCCTTTACATAGGCATGTGAATGTGAGATATCTCATGAATGCTGATAGCTGTCCTGGTTTCAGTTAAACAGAATTAATTTTGTTTGGTGTTTAGCTGCCGGCCCTGTTAAACCACGACAATAACTAAGCCACTGGAGGAAATTAGTGGAAATAGAGGACAGGAATGAGCTGCTCAGATCTTCCTGTGCCCACCTGCCATCCACAGCAGCATAGCTGCTGTGACGGAAAGTGTGTGCATGCCCAGGCTCTCGGCACAAGGTCTGGGACAAGTCTGAGTTTGGCCCTTGTGCCACAGCTGAGCTGCTGCAGCCCAGATGTGCCCCAATGCCCTCAGGCTGGGGCACAGGCAGGAGGAGCTGGATCCCCGCCTGCTGTCACAGGGCTGGGACATTGATGGAAGAGCTGCTGAGGTGTGGGGGGACAGGTCCCCCAGCTTGGGGTGCTGTGCTGGATGGGGGCAGATTCTTCAGAAGAGACAGGCGGGGATGATCAACAGGGGGTTGCCCTCCATGTGAAGGATCTGTCTGGATGCATGGAGCTCCTCTATGGGATGGGCAGCAGAGTGGGGGAGCCCTTGTGGGTGAGGGTCAGAGCAGATCCAGTCAGGGTGGCAGTGTGGTCAGAGGTAAATGCCTGCAGTCAGGCTGAAGAAGCAGACAGTCTTGTGGAAGCCACTGGACTAAGATGAATTCAATGACCCCATGTCACCCTGGGGGCCTTAAATCACTCAGACTGTCACAGAAAAGGGACACTGCAGGGTGCAAACATTCCCGAGGTTTCTGTGGGTTCTTGGAGACAGCTTCTGTGCACAGCTGCTAGGTTAACCAACCTAGGTGATGTTCACCAGGATCTGGGACTTGCAAACAGGAAAACCCGTGTCTTGACACTCCTCCTGTAAAATGCGTGTCATAGTCCAGCTGCTTTGCAGCACAGGGAAAGAGATGAGGTTTTGGGGCCCAGCCCTACACCCAGCACTGCACAGGCCCACTCACTCATAGACCCTGGGAGGCCTGCAGCCCTGGAGAGTATTGGCAGACAGACTTTAGCAAACTGCCTAGAAAATGGGGAGGAACACAGCAGTGACTTCTCCAGCGCTCCACTTCCTTTATTCTGTGGCCTTTGTCAGAATTTGGAGATGTTCCTGGTGGATGGGCCAGGAACCGCTAGGAATGAACTGGGCAGAAGGGAGGTGACTGTTTCTCAGGACAAGAAGGGAAATCTCTCGTCTCTCTCCTGAGCTGTGCTGTCTCCATGCTGCTGACGTCATAAGGCTTATTATGACACGTGATGATGTCACAGAAGGATGTCCTGCATCACCAGGATATAAGCATTGGTGCAGCGGCAGTGCCGGCACTTCCCTGCAAGGCCTGGTCCCTGCTGGGCACTGCTTGGGTGCTCCCCAGCGCTGTCCTTCTGTGGCCAGGAGTGGGGTCAGCAGGCAGCAAGCTTGCACTGGGCGACCCTCGCTGACGGGCGGAGGAGCAGGGGCACCTTGCAGAGGAGCTGTGGTTGAGGAGCCAGGGCGGGCATCCCTTGTCCTGAGCTGAGGGCCAGCAGCAAGCGAGATGGAGGGCTGCTGGAGGGTGACCATCGCCTCTGATATGGTTTCCCAGTTCCCAGTGCTCCTGAATCTCTCCCCCAAAGGTAAGGGTGTCAGGAGCCCCTTCGCAAGGGGTGGCCCAGGGAGCCTGCAGTCTCTTTCCTGCAGCTCCCACAGGCCTCTCAGGAATGTCCCAGGAATGCCCGCATGGTGTTTTTCTGGGGGGCTCGCGTATGCCTGCATGTGTCCTCGCCTGGGTGAGGTGCTTGCCAAGAGGTGGTGAGCTGGCTGGCCTGGAGCCTGACCTGTCTTTTCCTTGCTTTCCAGAGACTGAGGCTATCTGGGATGCTGTATCCGAGCAAATTCTGGAAGCGCTGAAGCAGGATAAGGTGGGCTGGTGTCCTGGGCCCTGCAGAGCAATCCCTACCAGAGCAGCACGGCAGTGCACTGAGACTGCCCAGGGTGCCCGGAGCAGCTTGCTGGCCAGCTGGGAGAGAAACCAAGGCCAGATCTGCTCTGCTTCTCAGGGGTTTGGCACACCCTAGGGCTTCACTCTTCCCTGCGGCCTGGGTGGAGAGGGCGAGCAGAGAGATGGGGGAATATCCTGGGTCCGTGCCTAGGATAATCAGTCCCAGGCCTAAGCCGTGTGCTGGAAACCTCTGGGCTCTTCCCTAGCCAAGGGATGGTGGCAAATCCTGGGAGGGGGGTGATGGAAGAAACGGAGGATGCGGCTCTTCTCCAAAGCTTTCCAAAGTGCCCCACCTTGCCCCATTGTCCCTCAGGAGCAGGCAGGGCACAGAGCAGTGTCCCCCTGCTCGGAGAGTCATCCCTTTTCCCGTCTCTCAAGAACTCCCTCCTCAGCCTTTCTGTCTTCTCTGTGTGCAGGCTATTCAGGTTGCGGGACTCGGGACCTTTGCTGTTCTCCAAGAGCAATTCCACGTCAAGCAAAAGCGGCTCCTGATTCGCAAACCGTTCTTCCAGCTGGACATTGATGAGGGGTGGCTGGAGTACATGTACTGTCCCCCTGAGATCCTCCCTGGTGAGAAGGCAGCAGCCCCCTCGTCCTGCCCCATGTCCGGAAGGATTTGTTCTCCCTGCTCTTTGGAAAGGCCTGGGAGAGGCAGAGGATTGTCTCCAACGGTCAGGGTGGAGCTTGAGTTCCCCCAGAAGACCCCGTGGCCCCGGAGCTGTTTGTCTTAGCGACCCTTCCTCTAGGACCTTGTTCAGAATGCTGCAAGCAACTTGGGCTTGCTGTGGCACTGAGGATGTTGCTTCTCCTTGCAGATGACGTCGAGGTCGAGCCGCTGAACTACCTGCAGCTAGCGCAAGCCACCTCCTTCCCACTGTACGTGGTGCAGGAGTGTGTGCAAGAGACCATCATCTTGTACTGTTGCCTCCTGAAGAACAAGGAGCACGTCCCCTTTGCATTCAGGGACATCGGTGTTTTGACGTGCGAGGATGACTTCCTGTGCATGAAGTTTTATCCGGACTGTGTTAAACGTCTGGAGAGCTCTGAGGACCTCATTGCAATGCTCCACAGTGTAAGCTGGTGATGTTTTGAGGGCTACTTCAATTTCTTTGGGAATCCTGTGGAAGGGTGATTAATGCGACCGCTGTTGGCCAGCCTGGACACGGCAGGCCAGTCAGATGCCTTTCCCCACGCCTGCCCCATTAGCTGCTTTCTCCATTAGCTCTTCTGAGCGTCTGGATGCTGGCCGCTGCAAAAGGCCTGGCAGCGTTACTGTACAGCCTCAATATTCTGCCATGCTCCTCCAGAGCAGAGCAAAGGTGGATGGAAGAGGCTTTGGAGGAGGGTTTTGGAGAGAAGGCTTTCTTTTGGCTTGGGAGACAGGTTTGCTTCCTGTCAATGAGAGCCCTGAGAAAAGTGCCTCAGAAACCCTCCAGCAGGTCTGTGTCTCTTTGCAGAGAATGTGGCCGGCACACCCGACTGCCTTGAGTGGAGAGACCACCGCTCGTGCGATCCAGATGTTCCCAAGGTGAGTACATTTCCTCCGCAGCCCTTGGCTTCCCACCTCCTCCTTTGGAACGTGCGCGGTCGGGTCTCCACGCTCAGCATCCAGTCGGGGCTAAATCCTGAAGAGACTGGGTCCTGGTTAACTCATGCTGACTTTCGGCTACGAGTGTCTTCACCTGGCGAGGAGGGGCATTGCGGTTGTGCTTCTTGTGCCCGTGCTGCCGCGATTCCCCTCAGAGAGAACTGCCTGCATGTGGAGGGGAATTTAGGCTACCTTTTCTGGTGTTGCGGGAAGCTTGACAACAAACCCCATGCGTGAACGTGACGGAAGAGGGATGCCATGTCCCGTGCAACACCAGGAGGATTACTGCCAGCAAGCAGCAACGGGTAGGAGGCCAGCCTTCTTCAAGCCCGTGTCATTTGTTTGCCAGGTTTCATCTGACTGTGAGGACAAGGCCAGAGGCCAAAGTGCGGTTCACCTCGCAGCAGCAAGCTGCAGGAGAGTGCAGGATGAGAGGAGGTAAGGGTCCGTGCTGTCTGGGGGTGGTCCCTGCCCCATGCTGGCTGACTGCAACCAGCTTAAAAGGCAGTGCCCATGCGGCTGCTCTGAAGAGCTTCCTCCTTTCCTAGTTTCATTGTGCCATCCTGGCAAGCTGCTGGAGAGGCGGAAGCTTTCCCGCCCCACGGTGAGAAGCTGGGAGCCAGGCACGAGGCAGCAAGATCTGGAGAAGAAGCCTTCCACCAGGTGAGACCCTTGGGGGAAAGGAGGAAGGAGCCACTTGCAGCCACACAGGAGAGATGTCCCCTTTGGACCCACCAGGCGCAGGGACTCAGAAAGGCTCCTGACACCCGTCCCGGAGGAGGCCGCTCTCTCCACGCATGGCAAGCGTGCAGCACGTTTGCCTGAGACTGGCACGCCAGCTTCATTTTCCACCAGGGCCCTGATCCTTGGGGGAGCTGGATGCAGAGCCGTGTTGCAGAAGCTCTTGTCCCTTCAGGAGCCCCCCCACATTGCAAGAGTCCATCTTTTTGTCTGTGGGAGCAAACGTCCCCTGCGGTTTCTTCCAGCTGCCCCGCAGCTTCTTCCAGCCTAAGGAGCTGTGATACCAGATGGAAACGTTTCTTTCCAAACGATATCCCAGACTTCATGGGAGGCACAAGAGAGTGCCGAAGGAGGGAGGTGGCCTGCCTGCCTCCTTGCCTGATGGCGTTCTCCGATGTTGCTGGCTCCCCAGCGATAATCTGCTTTCCACCCATAAGCCCGGCTGGGCCGTATTGGTGTCTCTAGGATCCTGTCCTTGCACAAGACACTGCTCCTCTCCTTCTGCCACCACAAAGGGCCTGGATACGGGCATCGCGAGCCTTCCTGAAGGCAGCTGGTGCCACTGCTTCGCGGTTGGCTCTCTCCGTGTCTGCTGAAGCGAACACGGCCAGTCCAACACCCATTCGCTGCGGAACTGCCGTCTGCTGCAGAGGCTGACGCAGCTTGCGAGCGCGGACTGGAGACCGAATTCCCCTGGGCTCATGCAGCCTCCCGGTGTCTGTTTGCAGTGTGCTCCCCCCGTGTCCAGGCAGCTCCCCCAGGACAAAGAAGACAGACAGGCAGGAAGCAGCTCCTCAAGCCAAGTCCACCAGCACTGCGCTCCCTACTCCCGAAGCCTCTCAGAGATCGGTGCAGGTACCTGCTCTGCCTTGCTGCAATGACCACGCGGTTTGGGACTGTACTAAAGCCTTCTTTGTGTGGAGCGATCCCAAGCCGGACCCTTGGGATGCGTTCATTTTCACACTTGTTACCTCCTTCTTCTCTTCCTCGGGAGATGGAAGGTGGTGTCCCGCACACCTTCCCTGCCTCTTGCTGCCTCCCGTGTTGCCATGAGCCGCTTCATTTGGACCAGGGGCAATGGAAAAGGAATGAGGGCTTTCTGGGTCTTTGATGGCAGAGGTCTTTGGTCCAACAGCTGAGACCAATCCTGTCTGCCGTTGTGTTTTTTGTTTGTTTTCCTCCAGGAGGTCTGGAACCTGTCCTCGCAGTGGGACCAAACAAAGAGCTCGTGGCCCTTGTACCAAAAGCGAATACAGCAAGCCCGGGCAGAAATGGCTGCTTGGGAAGCCTGGTCTCAGGGGGAGGACCGAGAGACACCTCAGGTACTGGCCGTGACCAACACCACTGAGAAGAGCAGCGATCCTCCCCGCCAGGGCTCCGAGGGGGGCAGGTCCCAGGGTGGTGGGAGCAGGACGGGCACCAGGGCGCAGGGCAGGGCTTTGCCTGCTCCTCCCTGTGAGGGAGAGGCTGTCAGCAGAAAGCGAGGGATCAAAGCAGCAGCCAGACGTGGGCCGGCAGTGCCGAGTCGCCTGCTTCCCAGCTCCTGCTGCAGGGTCCTTTCAAGGGGTCCTCTGGGAAACAGCACCCGTGTGTCCAGTCCTGTCTGATGAGAGCGTCTTCTCCTTGCATCAGGTCACCAGGCAACATGATTGGATTCCCCATCCCCCAGCCCAGCCCAGGAGCAAGGAGGTCGTGAGGAGGTGGAGGAAGGTTCAGATCCCTGCCGCTGAAGAGGAGTGGAGAGCGGCAGCCAAGCTGGAGAGCCTCCAGCCTGAGTAAGTGTGTGCCGGCTGCGTTCACGTGCTGGGGCACTCGAGTAGCTGCTGAGCGATGTCAGGAGATGTCCAGCAGCCCGGTCCCTGAGTCCTGGGCTTGCCTATGACACCCTTGGCTTTCTCCTAAAGCGGGCATGACCTTGGTTACCGCCAAGGCCTAAAACTCATCACAGGGCGAAAGGGTGGGTGCACGTGGCACCGCGTGGGTGCAGGGTCTGGATGAGGGGAGAGGCAGAAGGGGTGTCTGGCAGAGGCTGAGGGATCCCTTTGTCCTGGTGTTGCAGCCACCTTTCCCCACGAGCACTGCAAGTTTTGAAAAGGTCGGAGCCGCATCGCAGTCAACAAAGGGTGTTCAGAAGTGCTGCGGAGGAAAAGCGGCTGCAGCAAGAGCAGCAGCGGCTCCCCTGGTAAGTATCTCCAGAAAGGGATGGTGCTTCCCGCTGCTGCAAGGCCCGTCCTTCCCGTGGGGGCAGCACTGGGACAGAGAGGGCATTCCGGGGCCCTCCGCTCCCCCTGCCTCAGCCCCAGGCTGATGAGCTTGGGCACTAGGCATCTGTCGCAGCTGACGGCAACCTTGAAGCTTCATGGGAAGCAGACCCCTACGTGCACGGCCCGAGCTAAGCCTGCAGTACTTCTCTGCGTTCAGCCTGTACACAACCTGATCATCCTCTTTTCTTTCTGACTCCCTAGCGCTAGATGCTGGTACCGCAACGGAGGGGAAGGTGCTGGGAATGCTGAAGGCAGCAGCGGAGCTCTGAGCAAAGGGGCTGGGAAGCTCTCCCGCTTTCCACCCCTGAATGGAAAATAAAGAGCACAGCCAGACTGCTTGTGTCGCTTCATCCGCCGTAGCAAAGCACTGCCCTGATTCACACCACCATCTCCATTAGGCACACGGGCACATCCCAAGGATGCCCCGGCTTCTCCGTGCAGCACACAGGCATCTCCCTGGAGCACCCAGCTATCTCCCCAGACCACCAGTCTTGCTAGCAGGACCTCGGCACAAGTCCTCTGATCAAGCCGTCTCTTCCAAGGAGCGTTCTGGCAACTCCCTGGAGAAGCCAAACATGTCCCTGGGGAAAGTAAAAGTCTCCCCTGGGAATACAAGCATCTTCCTGAAGCACCCTCCATGGCACCCAAGTATCTCCCCAGGGAATATAGGCACCTCTTGAAATCAGAAATACTTCCTGCAGGACACGTGAGCATTGAGCTGGAGTAGACAAGCATCTCCCCAGGACACCTAAGCACTACCTTTTCCCTCTCAGGCATCTTCCAAGGGCATTCCAGCACCTCACGGGAGATCCCAACTCTAGGTGGGTTCACCTGAACAATTTCCGCTGTGAACCCATCTCCTGCTGATGCTCTAAGACATCGCCCAAAGGCATACAAGCATTTCTTGGAGGAACCCAGGAACCTCTATAGAGAACCCAAGCACCTCCTTGGAAGAATGAAACACCTCCCTGGGGAACAGTAGAATAACCCCATGGGTGCCCAAGCACCTGCATAGGTCTCCCCAGAAGATCTTTCAAGAACCAAGGAATTCCCTCCATTGATGAAGCACCTCTATGAAGAAATCCTATCCTGCCCCGGGTCAGAGAAACACCTCCCTGGGTAAATCACGCAACGTCCTGGAGGAGCAAAGGATCTTCTTGGGTGTACAAGCATTTTCCCGTGGTAGGCAAGCACCTCCCTGGGGACAACCAGCACCTGCCTCTGGGTCACTCATCCCCTTCCCTGTGGAACACGAGCATCTTGTCGGGACAACCAAGAACCTCCCTAAAGCACTGAACAACACACTTAGTGCAGTCCAGCAACTCCCTGGAGCACACAACCTGCTCTCTGCTGGACCCAGGCAACTCCGGAGGTTCCAAGTGACCCCAGAGGAATCAAGCACCTTCCTAGAGAGCCCAAGGATATTCCCAGGGCACACAAGCACCTCCCTGGGGCACATAAGCATATCCCTGGGGCAGAAGAAAAGCCTCCCTGGAGCACACAAACCTCTGCCCTCCTAACAAAAGTTTCTGCCCCTGCCATACAACTCCTGCAGCACAGAAGCACCTCCCTGGAACACCCAAGCACCTCACTGGAGCACCCAAGAATCTCCCCACCGCACTCCTACATCTGAGTGGAGAACCCGAGCATCTCCTCGGGTCATCAAAACACCACCTGGGGCACACAAACTTGCTGTCATCCCTTGGAGTTTTCAGAAGTGATAAACTTTTCCTCTCTCTCCAGAAATGACTCTCAGGTCTTTCCCATGACAGACCTGTCATGGGACAGACCGAGAGTCATTTCTGGAGCTTGAAGAGCTCGAGTTCCCCCAGAAGACCCCGTGGCCCTGGAGCTGTTTCTCTTAGCGACCCTTCCTCTAGGACCTTGTTCGGAATGCTGCAAGCAACTTGGGCTTGCTGTGGCACTGAGGATGTTGCTTCTCCTTGCAGATGACGTCAAGGTCGAGTCGCTGAACTACCTGCAGCTAGCGCGAGCCACCTCCTTCCTGTTATATGTTGCCCCCTTAATTAATTTTCAGAGAGCATTGCATTAATAATAGAAAGGAATTTATTGAGTAAGCAACAGCAAGCAAAACAGCGCTGGGCAGCCGGGGAGTCTCGGCTCCGCCAACGGCGCGCACCTCACCCCCCGCCAGGGTCCCTTTTATATCTTGGTAATTCCAGGATTATGCAGCACATCCTGGTATATTCTGCGACTGCGCGCACTGTTGCTAGGGGGTCATCTCTGTCCCTCTGGTGGTCGTGAAGATGAAGGCCGTAGTCTTCCTCGGCGTTGTGGTTCAACTTCTTTTTTTATTTGGTCATGTTGGCCCAGCGTGAGACAGGAAGGCAGGATGCTGATACGCTAGGTTAGCAACTTATCAGGAGATGGTTACATGAGCTTTGCAGCAGGGTCTTTGAACAAAAGAGGCAACTGAGATGCAGAAGGAGAGAAGGGGAGGGGGTTCTCTTTTTTGTTACATTAAGCAAAAGAATTTTCATAGTGTCTAGCCAAGCATTATCCAGCTCCTTACTTCAGCAGGAACCTTCGCAACTCCAGCTCCTCAAACAGAACTCCTTGTTTTTATAACACGAAAGACAATGAACAAACATTTATTGTGTATTACACTTCCCAGCTCAAACTGGGACCCCCAGCCCCTTCCCATTATGAACTGGGACCCTTAACCCCTTCCCAGTATGAATTGGGCCCACCCCAGTACAAACTGGGACCCCCATACCCTTCCCAGTATGAACTGGGCCCATTCCACTGCAAACTGGGAACTTTCCCAGTACAAACCAGGGCTCCCAGCTCCAAGCCAGCTCAAACTGGGATTGTCCCCAGCTCAGACTGGGACCCGCAGCCCTTTCCCAGTATGATCTGGGCTCCCCAGCCTCATCCCAGTACAAACTGGGCCCATTCCCAGTACAAACTGAGACCCTCAGCCCTTTCCCAGTATGAATTGAGCCCATCCCAGTTCGAACTGGGCCCCCCAACCCCATCCCGGTACAAACTGGGCCCATTCCCAGTACAAACTGGGCGCCTTTCCCTTCGCCCCGCCCCCCGTTGCCAGGTAACCGCCACCGCCGTTTCCGCCTCTTTTCCCCCCGTTGCCAGGCAACCGCCGCCATTTTGTCCCCTCTCCCCGTTGCCAGGCAACCGCCGCCATTTTGTCCCCTCCCCCCGTTGCCAGGCAACCGACGCCATTTCGTCCTGCCCCGCCGGGCTGCCCGCACTGCGCATGCGCGCTCGCCGGCCTCCCATTGGCTCCCGCCCCGCGGCTTCAAACGGTCCGGCGGGAGCGATGGCGGCGGAGGCTGCGGCCGGTGCGGGGGGGGGGGGGGGGGGAATTTGAGTGGGGTCTGAGGGGATTTTTTGGGATTTTGGGGAAAATGGGGGTCTGGGGGGGCTCAGGGGGGGTTGGAGAAGGCGTGCGAGGCTCTGGGGGGCGTCTGGCGGTGAGGGGATGCGGGGTTGTGAGGGGAAAAAGGGCTGAGGGGGTGTTCGGTGAGGGGAGAGGGGCTGTGAGGGGACGTTTTGTGAGGGGAAAAGGGGCCGTGAGGGGAAAAAGGGGCTGTGAGGGGAAAAAAGGGGCTGTGAGGGGCATTTTGTGAGGAGATGAGGGGTTAAGGGACACTTCGTGAGGGGACAGGGACTGTGAGGGGATATTTTGTGAGGGGATGAGGGGCTGTGAGGGGGCATTTTGTGAGGGGATGAGGGGTTAAGGGACACTTCATGAGGGGACAGGGACTGTGAGGGGGTATTTTGTGAGGGAACAAGGAGCTGAGAGTGGAAAAGGGGCTGTGACATGGCTGACAAGAGAGGCTTCAGGTACAAAGGCCCTGGACCACCCTCCTGGTCTGTCCGTGCCAGCAGGGCACAGCCCAGCTGCCTCCCTCCTGCACCAGCCTGTCTTTGATCTCTGCCACGCGATCCAAAGCCAGCAGTGCCTGTCCTCCCTCTGCACGGTCGCATATCCCAGCTCGACACGGATGTTTCTCTCTACTGGGAAGCTTCCAGCCCAGCTCAGCTGCCCCCCAGCTCTCCCACCTCCCTGCCCTCTCCCCAGCCCAGCCCAGCCCAGTAGCCTAGGCTGGGCTGGTCCCACGGCAGTGCCCATCGCAGGCTGCTGCAGGGCTCTGGGCACTGCCACCACAGCTCCAGTTCCCATTCACTCCTGATCAACTCAGAATGGGTCTCAGACCAACATTTATTTGGTTAAAATACACAGAGATCCTGGCTCCTTGACTACAGAAATCCTGGGTCACACAGAAAGGGTGATACTCAGGCAGGAAGGAATGAAAAAGGGCGTTTTTGTGTAGGCAACAATATCACAAGGGCAGAAAGGAAAATTGAAGAGACAAATGCCATATGGAAAGGCAAGATGGCCTGTCATGAATAATACTTGGAGCCATCTGCAGAAGAAGGCAGACAGTCTGTGGCCACTGATAAACAACTAGTCAGCAGTTTGCATATTGAATCTTTGAGCTCCTGGTTCTTCATGCTGTAGATGAGAGGGTTCAGTGCTGGAGGCATCACTGAGTACAGAACTGCCACCACCAGGCCCAGGGATGGGGAGTAGGTGGAGGGAGGCTTCACGTAGGAAAAAAATCCAGTGCTGACAAAGTAACATGGAATGCCTGCCGCACAGTCATGTGAGGAAGGCACATGTAAAAAGGCTTTTTTTTTTTTTTTTCTCTAGGAATTTTTTTTTCTCTAGGAAATATGTCCTTTCACTTCCATGACTTGAGATTCTTTTTGTGAGGTTCAGTTTACCATTACCATCATGGCATTGCCCATTGGCTCAAGAGTTAGAAGTCCTTTCCCAGTGCACTGCGTATATTGGAACATGGTAGGGCAAGTATTTTTTGTTCAGAATTTGACATATGAAATCACTCCTAGCACAGAAGGGACGTTTACATCTGCACTCCGAATGTGAAAAAAAAAAAAGAAAAAAAAAAGGTGGGTGACAAAAAGGACTTTTAGTTTAGTTTTGCTTTTGCTAGACAGCATCCTCTCCCTCGTGATGCCCAAGCAGTGCTCTCTGAAGTCAGAAATCCTGAGCATTTCTGCTGCACTCACAGTGAATGGCTGTGAGAGCTGGCTGTGGGAGGGACCCCACGCTGGAGCAGGGGCAGAGAGAGACCATGAACTTTCTTAGTTCTCATTTAGTTTCTCACTGCTCCAGTCTACCAGTAGCACTCAATAAATTATGCTCGTCTTCCTAGAGTGAGTCTGCTTTGCCCATGTCTGAAATTGGTAAGGGCTCTGCCTGTTCCTTAAATGTACCCTGAAGCCCTTTTCCACGCTATTTAGTCCATCTGTTCCTTTGATGGGGAGCAGGTCAAAGAACAGTGTGCTGCCCATCAGTGTGCTGGATCTAGGGAGCTTTCAAGATGGAAAAAAAAAACAAACAAAAAAAACAATGACAAGTTAATACTGGCTTCCCAGAGTGAAATCTACTCCATTTCTCCTTGAACCCCTCCCTGCCACACTCCCTCACTTGTCATTCAGCCTCATAAGCTATATTTAATGAGTTTGAATATGATACTGAAGTATTCGGGACCTGTGCATATTGGGTCAGGAGGAAGCAGTCTTGTCCCTGTGCATTGGGTACATCAGAACATGGCAGAGGCTCCAAGTTATATTTTCAGAATTTGTCAGATGAAATCAATGCAGAAGGGCATACGGGGTGGTGTCCTAACAGGCCTAAAGAATGTGGAGGCTGAGAGGACTTCTAGGAATTTTTGTTTTTTTCCTACACAACCTCATCATGCCCAAGGAACTGTCCTCTGAAGTCAGAAGTCCTGAGGATTTCTGCTGCACCCACAGTGAATGGCTGTGAGACCTGAGAGGCAAAGGGATTCCCTTTAGCTCAGAGCAGGGTGAGGGGAGCTGGTTGGGCTGTGCCCAATGGCCGTGATCTTGCTGCTTTTGGAGATGGATGGCAATCACCTTTATGGTACACTTCAAAGAATCAGACACTGCTAAGAGCAGAGGAACCCACTGCCAATCTCTCAGTGCGCAGCCTTTCTCAAGGTACCTAAGCAAGGTCTCAGCACCACATGTCTTGCCAAGGACACTTATCATTTATTTCACCAACCCAACAGCATGTCCTCACATGCAGCATATCTCTGCTTCTTCCTGGGGCATTCACATAACACAGAGATACTACGGAAAAGATTTCTATCCTGCAGGGCAGCTCACAACTTGGAAGGACATCCCAGGGAGAAAGACAAGTGTCCTAATGATGGTGTCTCATTAAGGGAAAGTCAGCTCATTCCCCAGCCTCACAGAATGCACTGCCCACAGCCCCAGGCTTGCTGTCTCTCAGCCCCCCTGCACCACAGAGGGAAATGGGCACGTGGCTGGAGAGATGCACCTCTGCTCTGCTGGAACTGTGGCTGCAGAGGACGTGCTTCATGCCCTGGACCACAGCAGTGACTGCAGGGGCTTTCCTGAGTGGGACAGGAGGCAAGAGGGCTTGCTCAGAGGAAGGGGCTGCAATGTATGGGAATAATACAGACCTTTTCTGAGAAGTTCTCCCTCTGACTACAAAATCCGGTTTTTCTTTCTTCTCATTCTCTAACCATATTTCTTCTGCCTGAAGATTTTATAACTGGGGGATGTTTCCATGTCCCATGGTCTTTTCCCACCTGTGTTCAGAGCCCTCCTGCCAACCTCTTTGCCCTTCAGAAACCAGCAGTTACCCAGAGCACTGCCTAGGTGCATATCCATCTTTGGCAGATAGAAAACAGCCTGTCAGAAAGCCCTGACAGGTACAGCAAAGTTGCCAATGAAGCTGGCCATAAACAAAGGAGAGGCTGTAGGCAATTTATAAGCCTTCTTACAAGCCCACTGATCATCAAAGGAACAGTTCAGGAATCTTAGAGATGTGTTGGAACTTGACAGTTCCTTTTCCATTTCTTTCTGCAACCTCACCCAATCCTGCAAGTGCTGGAAAGGGAAAAGGAAGCAGAAAATTCTTTTCTGGATTTTTGTGTGTTTAGTGGATTATTTCTCCAACATATGTCACACCTTTCTGTGACTGACCTAGGAGCCTCCACCATGTTCCTGCATATAAAGGAGAGGGGTTTTTGCCTCTCCGGGGACCAGGGCTTGGGACCAGGGCAGGAACAGGACGAGGGCTGGGGTCCAGGACCAGGGCTGGGGACCAAGACTGGGGACCAGGGCTAGGAACCATGTCTGGGGACAGGATCAGGGCTGGGGACCAGGGCTGGGGATCAGAACAGGGCTGGCTGTGCAGTGCTGGATGTAGGGCTGGGCCCCAAAACCTCATCTCTTTCCCTGTGCTGCAAAGCAGCTGGACTATGACATGCATTTTGCAGGAGGATGTCAAGACATGGGTTTTCCTGTTTGCAAGTCCCAGATCCTGGTGAACATCACCTAGGTTGGCCTCTCAGCTGTGCACAGAAGCTGTCTCCAAGAACCCACAGAAACCTCGGGAATGTTTGCACCCTGCAGTGTCCCTTTTCTGTGACAGTCTGAGTGATTTAAGGCCCCCAGGGTGACACGGGGTCATTAAATTCATCTTAGTCCAGTGGCTTCCATAAGACTGTCTGCTTCTTCAGCCTGACTGCAGGCATTTACCTCTGACCACACTGCCACCCTGACTGGATCTGCTCTGACCCTCACCCACAAGGGCTCCCCCACTCTGCTGCCCATCCCATAGAGGAGCTCCATGCATCCAGACAGATCCTTCACATGGAGGGCAACCCCCTGTTGATCATCCCCGCCTGTCTCTTCTGAAGAATCTGCCCCCATCCAGCACAGCACCCCAAGCTGGGGGACCTGTCCCCCCACACCTCAGCAGCTCTTCCATCAATGTCCCAGCCCTGTGACAGCC